ACAAGCATTCCGACAGGAGATACACTCTCAATAAACTGACGGTACACATGCATACATTGATTATGGAATCACACAATTATAAGAAATAAAAACATACTAAGTTTATTAACACCCACCTGTTAGGAATGACAGGAGAAGCACAAGCGACTGGTAGGTTGAGGGCTCGACTACTCAGAAACCTACATTTAAGCGAGATAATATATCAATTATTTATCTCACTACTCGTAAATTATTTAAAAACCACACTTAATCAAATACTAACGATTAAAGGTTTTTATCAGATTTTTCGTGGACTTGGAACTCTCGAAATCTTAAAGAATAAGGCTCGGCAACGAAAAAGGGGTCATAAGACTTAAAATAATTTTTCAAGCCTTATTCTCATCATTTTTTTTAAACATGGCTGGGAACAAAATAAACGAATTCGACACAAAAATTTGGCAGTTGGGCCGCGCTGGGAAAAAGCCCACAGCTGCTGATGGGCCATTATCGCAGAAAAAGAGCCTGGCACGCGAATTGGGCTGAGGCTACGCGCATAATGGGTCGCGACCAGGCCTATACCAGGCTGGTGGAACCGCGGGCCTACACGTAGACTGAAACGGGCTCGTGGGCCGAAGCAGCTGACAGAACACAGGCCGTGCGGGGGTTGGACCGCAATTGGCAACGGAAAAAATGGGTCGGGAGAAATGGCTGCGCAAATTTGGGCCGATCATCAACTGGGTTGCACCAACGGACAGACTAGGCTAAGCTCACAGGCTGCAGAAAAGCCTGCCATGCCTAGTACCGAGGCCATAACTGGCTGGAAAATGGTGACGGTTTCGATGATGATTTCGCACGCGACACGGGGTTCGAAAAATTTACGAAATTTTTTAAAAATAAAACCAATTTTTCAGAGCTTCAATAACTTTTAAAAATTGGGTTTTTGGCCTCGAAAAAAGAGACGAGAAAAGGACGAGACTCGGATAAAAATAAACGAACGACTAAACGGCGACGGTTCGGAAAATAAAATGAGGCTAAAAAATTATACAATAATCACAGCAACAAACAGGCTTGATTTTTGACAAACGAGAGTTCCGAATATTCACGTAAAATTCACGAATCGCGACACAACGAACGAAATGAACCGATAAATATTCCAACCAACCAACGAAAAATGATTCACTGATCAGAAATAATCCGACGAAATAGAACACGAGCACGGACAAAAATATAACAAGGAGGTTCGAAGGACATTGTAGATTCGCTAAGTTTGTGAAATAAATTTCGAAGCTAATTTTCCCAAAACATTTTCCATTCAATCTGAAGAGAAATCTAAGCTAAGAGCAAATATAAGCTCAAAACCCTTAGCTCACATACACACGCACAGTACGTGGTTCCATACACCAATCAGAAGTGCACACGTCGCACATAAAACGTAAGAAAAATGAACCTGCAATAAACGTGTAGCGAGTTCATAAGAGAAAACATGAACTAAGGACAAAAGAGTAAAAACCACTAAAAAATAAAATGCCTAATAAGAACAGAAAACGTTATGCGACTTCATACTCCATCTTCAACTTCATGTAGAAAATTCTCCATGCCNGGAAGAAAAACACGTGCCCAGCTTGAAAATAAACCGGCGAAAGTCACGACCGCCAAGACCTTTAGTGAAGACATCGGCAAGCTGCAGGGAAGATGAAATGTGCTGTGGAATGATGAACCCTTCTTTAAATTTGTTCCGAACCACGTGGTAGTCGATGTCGAGGTGTTTTGTGCGCTCATGAAATACCAGATTTGCCATGATGTGTAATGCGGCTCTATTATCACACCAAAGATTGAAGGACCTAGACAAGGTGATCCCCGAATCAACAAGAAAATAATAGATCCATTGCAACTCACATACAGTGGTGGCCATAGCGCGATATTCGGCTTCAGCCGATGATCGAGAAATAGTCTTTTGCTTCTTAGTTTTCCAGGAAACAAGAGAAGACCCCAAGAAAATACAATACCCCGTGAGGGATTTGCGAGTAAGATGACAGGTGCCCCAATCTGCATCTGAAAAAGCCACAAGCTTAGCAAAAGAAATCGCCTCATAGAACAACCCTAGAGATGGAGTTCCTTTCAGATATTTAACCACATGCAAGGCTGCATTCCAATGTGCCTGTGTAGGTGATTGAATAAACTGGCTAAGCTGCTGAATTGCAAAGGAAATATCAGGCCGAGAGAGATTCAAATAGAGCAGGCGACCCACAAGCCTTCTATAAGAATCTGAAGTGAGAAGAGATGGTGACTCTTGAGCAGAGAGATTTAAGCCTTGTGGAAAAGGTGTAACCACATATTTGCAATTCTCCAAACCCATATCCTTCCATGATATATTTGTGTTGATTAAGAAAAATGCCCCCTGTCACTCTGCACAATTCTAGTCCCAAGGAGTACTTTGCTTTTCCCAAGTCTTTGATAGTAAACAAACCATTGAGATAAGCCTTGAGATGATCTATTTCCTCCAGATGTCTTCCAACAATTAGGACATCATCCGCATATATCAAGAGACCAAGAAAACTATCTGCAGCCCTCTTAATTAATAGGCAATGGTCATGTAGGGATTGAGTGAAGCCATAAGATAAAAGCTTGTCTGAAAATTCTATATTCCACTGCCTCGAGGCTTGTTTCAATCCATAGAGACTTCTCTTTGCCTTTGTGTAACCCTTAGGAGGGTGCATGTACACTTCTTCTTCCAAAAAACCATGCAAGATTACATTGTTTATGTTAGTATAATGCATTTCCAAGTTGTGTTGGGCTGCCAGGGCAAGAAGCAATCTTACTAAGATCATCTTAGCAACTGGTGAGAAGCTGTCGAAAAAATCAATTCCCTCATTTTGTAAAACCCCTTTGGCCCCTAACCGTGCTTTATATTTATCTATGCTGCCATCTGGATGTTTTTTTATCTTCCATTCAGAGCCTATAGCCTTCTTTCCTGGAGGTAGCTTTCTAAGCTACCAAGTCTCATTGATTTCTAGGGCTTGCAGCTCCTTGTTCATTGCATCAATCCACTTACCATCCTTTATTGCTTCTTCATAAAAGTTGGTTCATATGCTGTGTTGTATATCTCTGAAAGAAATAGGTCCACTTCTGAAGTTTCTTGACCCTTACATGTGGTTTCAACCACATAGCCTGACATCCAAGCTGGTGGTCTTCTGCTCCTTTTTCCAATTTCTGTTTGAACAGCAGGAACATCCTTAGTCTGAACATGTGAGTTCTCAACATGAGGAATATCTTCTTCTTCAGTAAGTTTCTCAAGAATTGGAAGAGGTACTGATGAAACTTCTTGTATTTTGTTTTGTAAAGGGAATTCTTGCTCATAAAATATAACATCTCTTGATACAAAGGTATCCCCATTATCAAGATTATATACCCTGTACCCCTTAGTGCCAGTCACATATCCCAAAAATGTAAAAAGCAGTGCCCTATCATCAAATTTCCTCCTGTGTGGTTCAACGTTGTTACCATAGCATAAGCAACCAAATACTCTGAATTTTTCATAAGAGGGTAGCACACCATGTATGAGCTCATAAGGTGTCTTCATGTTCAGTTTTTCACTAGGCAAACAACTGATGATTTGCACAGCAGCTAACAAACTATAAGGCTAAAGGATCTGTTTTAATTTTGCTTGAGCTGAAATAAATCTTGCTACCTCTAAAATGGTCCTATGTTTCCTTTCCACTACACCATTTTGTTGTGGTGTATATGGAAAGGATTTCTGATGCATAATTCCATTTTCAGCCAACAAGCAAATATGCGATTGAGCCATGTCCTAACCTTTTATGCCATAGTTCTAGCTCATTTTCCTCCAGCTCATTTCTAGTGACCAAATTAGCACTCACCTGCTCTTTGTTCAGAATATAAAGGACATCAACCACTTTTGCCAAGACCAAATGTAAAATACCTTGAAAGGTCTGTCAATGTACATCCTTTACTATCAAATTCAAATTACATATTA